GAAAAGGAAAAGGAAAAGGAAAGGAATGAAATTAACTACCATCCACACAGCAATTTCTTTTAATCATTTAGATGGGCTTATTCCACTATACCAAGTGGCATGAGCTGCTTTTCATTTCCCCAGCTGTTGGCTGTTAAGTTTGGCGACAAAGGAACAGGTCTAAGGGATTAATTCAAAATGATCTGTAGCCACCTTGATTTTCTATAACTTTGGTCCTTGCTTATCACAGTTTTGGATCAGGCTAATTTCTGGAATGAGCTAAATCTTTGAGAACCATCTGAACTCGGAATCAATGGGAAACACCAGGAAAGCCCTAAAGTAACCTCTCTCCACAACTTCTACCCAAAGACTATCGTATCTTTAGTAATAAGGCTGCTCCAGCTAAGTCCAACCTCTCATTGTCTTCTTCCCACAACTGTCTCAGGAGTCACTAAAGTTGCGTTAAAAAACCTAGGCTCCAGTGCAAGCCTGTACGTGCCTTAATAGTCAAGAACAGAGCTCAGTTATTGACTACATATGGCCAAGCCTACAGAAGACTTCAGGTAATGAAATCAGTTTCTCATACTAAATGAACGAACAGATATGCATATACAGCAATATATATTCATTTTCTTAAAATAAACATTTGTCATTCTATGAGTTTTCTTTAGTATTACATATGATTTTTTGGCTTCAGAATTACATTCTTGCCCAGTCATAACTTCTGCTTTAGTGTTCCTTTAATATTACTTGATTATATAATAAAATTAGTAAAATTTTCATTGTTTTCAAATCTTCACTTTATTCATGAATTTAGCCCTTATTTGAAGATGATTTATATTAATACTTTTCAAAGGATAGTACATCTCAGTTAAAAGTCCTAACAAACCACTTTAAGTATTATTATCAATAGTATCTGTTCCGTATTTCTGATGAGGAAACAGAAGCCCAAAGAGGAAACATGGTTTAACCAAGGTCATATAGACAATCAATGACAAAGCTTGCACTGGAATTTAGATCTATTGACTCCTAGCCAAGTATCAAATTCCATAAATGTAGGGGATAAGGCTGTTCCTCTCTCAGTATCCTTCCAAACACATGCAAGAAAATGTAAAAGTCCCCTGCAGTTTAAACGTGAAGCACTGCTATGCCAAAATCCACCTTGGGATGATTCTGGCAATTAGCCAGTCTATTTCTGCTCCCATAAAACTCAACAAACAGAACTGAGAAAAGCAAACATCACAGGGGCCATGGACTCACACAAAACATTAAATAACAGTGTGGTTAGATTTTTTTTTTCTGAAGTGAGAAAATGACTAAGAATTCATTAGTGTAATCAAAAAAGAAAAGAAAACAGGCCTGCACTAAAGACAGCAATTTCATATAATGTCAAAAAAGCAAATAATCTTCACAATTCCAAACACATTTGTCTCATGCCTGCTTTCACTTCTTTTTTTTTTTTTTTTGAGACAGAGTCTCACTCTGTTGTCCGGGTCAGAGTGCCATGGCATCAGCCTAGCTCACAGCAACCTCAAACTCCTGGGCTCAAGCAATCCTCCTGCCTCGGCCTCCCAAGTAGCTGGGACTATAGGCACATGCACCACCATGCCTGGCTAATTTTTTCTATTTTTAGTAGAGACGGTCTCGCTCTTGCTCAGGCTGGTCTCGAACTCCTGAGCTCAAACAATCCACCCACCTCGGCCTCCCAGAGTGCTAGGATTACAGGTATGAGCCACCATCCCAGGCCTCATGCCTGCTTTCAAATATTAAAATAAAGCTGCTAAGTAATCCTGAATAGAATGGGTAGTTGCAGACTCAACATCTTTGTACTTCAGCCTCATCTATATGAGAAAAACTGTCCTTATCCTTTCTACCTTACATAGTCATGAGAAGCAAATTAGATTATACAGGTGAGAATGCTTTGAAATTTATACAACTACGGGGCTGACTTGCTGACTTGTTTAAAAAGTAAAATTAAGTTCCAATCTGCCTAAACTAAACTAGCCACAGTCAAATACAAACCATGCTTAAAGACCTTTATTATGCTCAAACCTGGAATATTTACACTATCTCAAATTTTAACAAACTAAGCCAATGGGCTTACCAAACTAATAAATACCACAGTTAATTTTTAAGACTTCTCAGGAAAAAGGAGAAAGAATTACATTACCTGATCCAGAACCTGATGTTGTCATATCATAAATTAAGTCTTTTAACGTAGTACCCTCTGAAATAAAAGGGCGATCTAATGAAGGATCCTCTTCATTTGGCACTCGATGGTGAATGACAGTGCGGTTATGGCAGATGTAGACCATCAACATGAGTGAGATGCAGACGAAGCAGACTGGTCCAGCAATGACAGCTGCCAGTTCCACAGGACCAAGGCCAGGTGACGGCTTTACTGAAAAAGGGCCTCAAGTGAAATAAACATCAACAACAACAAAAACATCGTAGGTGGCACCCACAGGTTCCTAATCCTCCACAATTTCTGCAGTTGGCCACTGCCACCACTTAGTCTAAGAGCCTCACTACAACAGCTCATAGGGGCTCAAATCCGGAACAAGTAAATCATTCAGTCTCCTCCCCTTGGCCCTCTTTTTAAGATCACCAGCTCTGTCAGCACCTACTTATCCTTCCTGCGTTCTCCAGCCATCGTCTAAATCACAAGGCCAGCTACCACCAACAACCCTCTCCATTTATCACCTCAGGTCACTAATAAATGAACCAATAATCTGGCACAACTCCTATTAACATCTTTTGAAAAGTCTTTTTTTTTTTTAAAAAGTACTTTTGGCTTGTCTTCTTGTTCCAAGGCCAGTACATGCTGATAGCAGGAAAAAATATATATAAATATATATATCGCCACCAATTTTTTTTAAGGCAAAATATATTCTTCGTTTTATCAATAGAGTTTGCACATATATACTTTCTAGTCCTTTTTTAACCACCTAGACTTTTAATTCCAGATCATTTATTTACTTATAATCTCTTAATAATTAACATTTTATGTTGTTTTAGAACCACAGTAATTACAATTATTTTGACATTCATCCTGAGCCTTACTGGTTCACTGTTTACCACCATTTCTTTCATATCATATCTTTCCCATTCTTGAGATGTCCATTTGGATTGATTTCTTATACAGAATCCTAATTTCAGTAATTTCTTTCAGGAAGAGTCCCCATGGACACTTTCAGGAAGTGTCCCCTTGCACACTGAATACTTAATTACCGAAAGACGGCTATTACCTTTATATATGAAAAATCTTGGCTTATTGTGGATGACAACATATGTTATAAAGAATCCATTGCCCTCGATACTTAAAGCAGAAAATTTGAACTTTTTTGCTTTTTATAGGTAACCAGCATTTATGTCTGCCAAATGCTCATGCAATTGTTTTATTCTTAAAATTGATACTTTTTATTATATGTATTTGGCTTAATATTTTTTCATTAGTTTTACCTGATATTCTTCTCTTTCTGCTCTTGTGACTTCTTCTGGAATTCTGATAATAAGCATATTAGGTCTTCTAGATCTGTCTTATACAGTTCTTAACTTGCTCACCAATTGTCTTTTTCTCTGAACACAATTATAACACAATTTCTTAAGCTTGTGTTGCCTTAAGTTTGTCTCAAACTTGACTATAAAATTCGAGCATCCAGTCTGCTGTTCACTCTCAATATTGTATTTTTAAAAAACATTCATCAATTGAGCTTTTCATCTGAAAGCATTTCATAATGAACTGAAAATAGACGTTGGACTGTCTGAAAGTTCCTCCCAAACATGTGGTAAACCTATTTCACAAGACATTGACTCTAACTTATCCAGTTCTGAGTTCTTCTTCTGAACCCTTGCGTCTTTTCATTTGTTAATTTTTTACTGTTTGCTTATCCTGGAGCTGGAAATAAGAAGTTTATGTATGTTTAGCATTAGAAATGAGGTAACTTCTTCACAAGTTTTCGTACATGTCTATTCAGATATTTCGAACTCAAAAATGGAAATGGGAACTATCATTTTCTTTGCCATATTGGAACTACAGATGCCTTCATAAAAGTCACAAAGAAATTACAGTCTGACAGAACCTTACCATGAGGAGCTTGACTACCATGCAGAATGGTGGAGGGCTACCTACCTACCTTCTGTAACTCATAGGACTGGCCTTTTTCCCCTGAGCTATGGTGGTTCTTCTTACTTAGCATGAGGTCTGGACCAACTCTGAGTGGGAAAGTGAGCACTGTGGTCTGCTCCTCTGAGCACTGAAACCAGGTGCTTCCCAAAAGAGAATTGACAGTTTGCCCCTATAGCCTAACCTCATCCTCAACCCCTCATCTTAAGGTATTGGTGGGATTTCTTGAGAAGACCTTTCACTTACTTCTTTCTTGTATGGTTAGTCAATTCTTCGCTAGTCTGGTGTCATCTGTACTATAAATTGCAGAAGTCCCTCACAAGTGTTAGCATGTGGGAGGCATTCTTCCATTAATTCCATTGGCACTAATATAGGTTTCCCTCATTTTTCTATTCCTTTGATTACTCCTATTACAGTAGGAATTTGGTATTTGGGGAAAGTGGTAAAAGAGTTAAATATATGTGTTCACACTTAAGACGTGTGTTCCATCTTAAATCAGAACCTTAAAATTAAAGAGTTTACAAAGCTTTCAAATTACTGGCTCTGCCAGGGCATTTTAAAATGTAAACTTTGGGTGAAGGACCAAAAATTTAGAAATCATGTATAATTAATTTATACACAAAGATCATAAACAAGGTGAAATTACAAAATGAAAACATCTGGACTGTTTAGTGCTACTCTCAATCCTTGCCCATTAAAAGGCTGTTGATTGTTTTAAAAGGTAGGAGCATTACATAAGGAAGAAGAAATTCACTCTGAGGACAAAGTGGGGACTCTGAGGACACAGTGCTGCTGTGGGCTTTGTCAGAATTTGTTTTTATGAGGCTACCCTTTTAGGCATAAGAGACCTCAGAGAAATTCTATCCTGGAACCACCTTCTCGAACAACACCTGTCCCGGAGACAGGATCTTGGCTATTCTTACAGTTCTATAACTATGGACAAGTTACTTCTTGCCTCCAAACTGAAGAAGTTAGGCTAGGTGATACCTATGATCCCTCCCAGTTCTAAAATCATAGTCAGGGTTTTAAGAACTTTACTTGTAGTATTCAGGAAAAAAAAAAAAAAAAAAAAAAATTTATACAATAACTTACCAGTAGTTGGGAGTTCTATTTTATTGCAATGGTCCTGATTGCAGCAGTATGTTGTAGTAACAGACCCCGTTTTTGAAGAGGGTGCACATACAAATGGCCTATCTCTAGGAATTAGGTCAATTTCAGCTATACACATGCTATTGTGTATAACTTTGTCTGTGGTCTCTGTGACAGAGACAAAACAGAGCCCATCTGTCACACAAGTAAAATTGTCTTTTGTACAGAGGTGGCAGAAACACTGTAATGCTGGAAAAAGAGAAAAAGATTCTATTAGAAAAAAAATCTCAAGGTTAACAGTTTGAAAATATCCAACATTCATTCTAATAAAACATTCTTGATTCTATTATCACACAATTTCTATGCACTGTTCAAAAAATAACTGTTTCTCTTAGAAATTCCAAATTCTGTTGCAAGCCACATACATGAAGAAGCCTATGGAAATGTGGTAAAAATTTGGACCCAGGTTTTTCCTAAAAATGTTTTGCTTCCAAAGATAGAAAAATTTTTGTTATACACAATTTCATTGGAGTAAGGCAAGTATTTGCCCTCTCATTTAAAGTGCATGTAAATTTTTAATGGTTATACTTGTTTTAATCACCCCAAAACTATATGTCCACATACTCCTCCATTGGGGAACAATGTGTGAAAACACTACCAGCCATTACTGTTAAGCTGGAAGTGACATTTCAGTGATTTATGGTAATGGAATAATGGAAATAAATTCGTAGCGAGCCAGACACTCTCTATTCCCCTTGATACAAACCCTAAGACATGTGTCTTCCAGCTAGAATTGGGGTACTCTCTCTGTGAAACCAACCAGACTACAACATTATCAGCCCATATATACCCCAACCACATAGGCAATCTAGCTCCAGAAATGACTGGAGAAATCACTAGGTCCATATCTACTTGTATCTACTTGATCTTTATGGCTCAACTCTAGGAGTAACCTCCTTAGGGAAGCCTTGCAATTATCACCAACACCTTCCCATACACACAGATACACACACACTCAACTGTGCTCTCCAGTGAGGTTAAGTGATTCCCAAAGCACATACTGCTTACCAGAATTACTACTTTTGTTTTTTTCTCTTCTATGAAACTGTAAGCTTCTTGAGGCCAGAGACTTGTATCAATCATTTCTGTAAATCTGCTATCTAGCACTAAGTCTGATACAGAGCAGCATTCAAAAACTACTTGTTGAATGAATGACAGACTAGGTACTTATATCTCACTATGGTCTCATGAAGTTGCAAAGCACAGACATGTCCTTAAGTCCGAACTTTCCAATTACTTGTTGGCAAGGGAAAAGTAAGAGTTTAGGTATGTGGAATGGCCATCTAGGATGAGACCAGGGAGGTCCGTGGTATCTAGAAAAGGAGTGGCTAGGCAGACAGGCAGGCCAGAAGAAAGCTGACTCCCTGAACAGCTAATTAGCTGTACAGGAAAGGGCAACCCTGAGTTGCTCAAACCCTGCACATTCCCAAGAAAGTCCTGTTTTCAGAAATGGCCTTGTCTGGTTCCTGGGAGGTGAGCTCTGTGTCTCTGGAACATTCTTCCTGATAAGAATGCTTCTGTATGCCTGAGGCATTGGGTCACGTGGTACCAGTTTGATCGGACAATTTATGCTAAAAATGTTTTATAGTGAACACCTATTATTGCTGTGAAGGGGTAGAGCCTGAGTAGCTGAAGCCAGTCATGCAGATGCTGCAAGACTATGTAACCAACACCAGTAAAAACCCTGGACACCAAGGCACAGGTGAGTCTCCCTGGTTGACAACACTTCACCCATTATGTCAACATATCATGTTGAGAGAATTAAAGCCATCTTTGCTACTCCACTGGGACAGGATACCTGGAAATTTGCACCTGGTTTCTCCTGGACTTTGCCCTAGGTGCCTTTTCCTTATGCTGATTTTAATCTGTATTTTTTTGCTGTAATAAACCATAACCATGACTATATCAGCTTTTCTGAGTCCTGTCACTCCTTCTAGCAAATCATCAAGCCTGAGGGTGGTCCTGGAGACCCCCGACTCACTTGCTAAACTCAAACTCAGGTAGGTAACATTCTCCTCAAGCAGGAGAATGCTTTTTGGTTGCTGGCTTAATTACCACACTTGTCTGATATCTCTACAGCAAAGTTTTACCTTAATCACTATAAACATGTTTTCTTCATAGACAGTTTAGCTACCTATTTGACTTAACTCTTCCTAAGAAGAAGGGAACTCAAGAAAAGTACAAGGAAGAGACAACATCATAATCTATTTAAAGACTGTTAAAAGAGACAGTTGTTATTCATGATGATGTTTGATGGTGATTATAGGTTCTCTGGGTATAATTTCCTAAGGAGGGATTCTGAATCAAGAATTCATGGACTAGCTTCAGGGGTATATGAATCCCATGAAACCACAGGCCAAATGCTGTATATATTTGCATTTTCAAGGAGAAGATCTATAGCTTTCAACAGGACTAACAAAGGGGTCTGTGATTCACAAAAGATTAAAACCACTACCACAGAGACTGTCATCAATCTCTCCTAAATCCTCTTAACTCATGATTAGTTATTCAACCCATATTTTCTAAACATTACTTTTATCAGTTATTCTACCAAAAGCTTAGCATACAAAGATTAATGTTAATAACTGATGGTCACGACCCTTGAAGAACTCCAATGACTAGTGAAGAAGAACATTATAATTACAGTGTGGTAACTGCTATATACAAAAAATATTGCCTTGAATACTCTCCCAATTCTAAGACCACCATGGCTCCCCTGATATATAGGAGACAGGGGTTAAACACTTGGTCTAATAATTACGACTTTTACTTTTGGGTTACAATTTATTTACCTTTCACATTACAAATGCTATCCAAGGCCACATAATTCTCACCATTATAATAACCATGCCTTCCATGACCTTGGTCTTTACACATACTATCTCTCTGCCTAGTTTAAACCCATCCTCTTATCTGTCTCTCATCCTTTAAGATCCCATTCAAACAAGATCTTTCCCCTGATGTGCTTCTAAACCTCTCCCCTATTCTTCTGACAACTGGGAGCTCCTTTCAATATGGTACCATAGCCCTCTTTGCATACCTTTAGAACAGCACAAATCAACCTATTTACAGTTTGTTGTTAAAGTGTCTTTCATCGCCTTAAGAAGAGCCACAATTGTTTTGTTTTTCACATTTTTGAATCCTGGACCACCTCCCCGCACCCCCCCTCCCCAGATTGCAACCAGAAAAATATTTACTAAAACATTGTTTCCCAAACAAGAGATCACAAATATATCAGGAAAAGAAGGGGAATCAAGGAGTTGTCTACAAATTTTTAAAAAATATTTTCATTTCAAAGATAATCTAAAAACAAGGATAAACATTCAGGATCCTGACTAACCATCATCTAAACAAGCACTATTAACTAGGCTTTCACTGCTTCTTCAGCTGTGTGAAGATCTCCTTCAGGCCAAATGTCTTCATAGAACACTATATATACATAGAACAAAGGTTTCACAGTAATTGTAATAGAAAGAGTAAAAAATATAAGGAACTTGAATCATCATAGCATACACCAATATAGGCAGGGCACATTCAAAAGCCCAAAGCCAAACAGCCAATACCATATACGCACTGCATTAATATTACACCCAAGTGTTATATAGGGGTCCTATCTTTGTAGTACAATTTGCAAAAGTTCATTAGCAGTAAATGTGACTCCAAGTATGCAATGATGTTTTTCCATTCTCATTTCCAGTAATAACTGGTTTAGAAAAACATTTAAGGAAGATTTCAATAATGTCATAATGTTAACCTTATCTTCCAGTGAACGAAATCCTGACATCTCATTAAAACTTAACATTTGAGGAATGCTTGCTGGTAAGTGTGTTGGTTATATGTAAAGTCTCATTATCCTGAACTTACCGAGAAAGCCTTGAAGTCATTTATACCATCTTACACAACATTACTGATGAGACTAGGCACTCGCAGCTTTCATTATCACTGAAGTTAAAATACAGAAACAGATTTAAAATGGGATCAGACCTAAAGCTATTTTTTTCTACTGTAAAACCTAAACATCATCTGTCACACTGTATAACTGTATTAATTTAAATTTTGTTTTTTTGAAGTTGTCTTGTATTTAATTTACAGATTTGGTTTATAGTGCTAAATGATTAAAAAACATAAGGGTTTTATATCTATACAATTTAAGTGACATCATGAAAAATACATTCTGTACTTCTTTCAATGGGGTTATTTCAGTACGGTAAATTTGAAAAAACTCAGCGCTAAAGAGCTTGTCTTTACTCTTTCAATGAGTCTTTCGATAAGAAAAACAGGTCACTAGACAAATATAATGTCATATAACAAATCTTAACCAGGCAAGGATTTCTCTCTAGAGGGAATTTTGAAATTCCACTTCAACACTCTAAATCAGTCTTTTTTGAATACAAGATTGCCATTATATGATATTGTAAAATAGTTTACGGAAATACTAAAACAGGAATTTTAAAAATTCCCATGAACGCATGGGCTTTAATTGCCATTTTTTAAAAATTCAAATTTATTTTCTTAATAGATGGATCTGGCCCCTGGCTGCCCTCCCTTTTATTAAACTAGGTTTTTGTATTAATTTTTAAATGCATGAACAATGCAAAATTCCTAAAAAAGGTACACAATGATGTCTCCATCCTGCCACCTCAAAGCCCAAGTTCCACTCTCCACTCCATAACACCAGCCCATTAACTTGACTGTTTCATTTGATTCTGCAGTTACTCACTGAACATCTCTACATGCCAGGTACTATGCGGACTATGCGGACTATAGGGATGGATAGGATAAGGTATTTGCTCTTAAGTAGTTCACTAGAGTAGAAAAGTAAGGCATAAAACAGATAATTAAAATCCAGAGTCCCCAGGAGAATGATCAAAGTGCTTCCATTCTGCTGAGGTAAAAGACATATCAAGAAAAGTTTCACAGGGCATCCAAGTCAGAACTTGGGGAATATGTATAATTTGCTAGCTTGATAAAGGTGAGAATAAAGGTGAGAAAGCTATCCTGACTGGGTTTTCTTTCCCCCCCCTCAGTGGCAGGATTTTCTCCTTAGTGGCTAGCATTTCAAGTAAGATGATCAAATTTAAATAACTTTTCAAGATGCTAACCACAATGGTTTCATTTCATCAGCAAAATGAACATAATACCTTCCTGACTTGTTCCATCATCTCACTGAGATGATCAAATGAGATAATCTACATTAACACATT